TTTGCGTCTCCGGAGCGATCGCCTCCCGACTGTCCCCGGCGGCCACTTCCTGGAGTCTCCCCACCTCCAAGCCAGCGCCGGTCACCTGGCGTCCTGGCCCCTCTCCCGCGGGCCGTGCACCCCACCCCGCCAGTCCCCCGCGTGGCCGCCAGCGACGCTCCCGGCGCGTTCCTCTCGACGGCTTTGTGGCGTGCGGGTGGCTGGGTAGTTCCCCCGGCCCTCGCCCCCTCCTCCCGTCACTTTCGCTCCCGCCCCCGCGCGGCGCCGCCCCCGCTCCCGCCCCCGCGCACACCTGCCCTCCCGCCCTCCGCCCGCGCGCCCCGCCTTCGCCGCCCTCCCTCCTTCCCCTCCCCTCCCCGCGTCCCCTCCTCTCGCTCCGCTCCGCTCCGCGCGGCGCAGCGCCGCGGCCGCTGCCAGGGAAGACCCTCGCCTCCTCCCCTCCTCGCTCTCCCCGGCGCGCTGGCGGCGGCCGGCGCAAACCCTCGCGCGGCGCCCTGTTATTCTGGGTATTGTGTGTAATAAATGTCGGGCCGCCTCACTCCAATCAAGCTCATTACAAATTCGTGCGCGCCCCGGGCCGGAAACCGTGCGCTCCCCACCCCCACGCGCACTCATTCACGAGTTACTCAGCGAGGCTCCAACTCGCCGCCCCCGCCCCTCCCCAGTCCCGGCCCTCCAGCCCGGGTTTTAATCCCCATCCCTCGCCGCGCCGTGCACCCTGCCCCCCGCCGCCGCCGTCCCCGCCGCTCGCGCCCCTTCCTCCTCCTCCTCCCCCTCCGCCGCCGCTCGCTCCCGCTCCCCGGACGCGGCGGAGCAGCCGGCCCCGCTGGGGAAGCTCCGGGCGGCGGCGGCGGGCGGGCGGCCGGGAAGAGGCTCCGTGCTCGGGCTGGGGCTGCGAGCGGGGTGATTTTGTATTAAAATGAGGAGGAGGAAGAAGAGGCAGCCACAGCGGCGGCGGCGGGAGCAGCAGGAGCAGGCGCAGCGGCGGATGGGGCTGCAGCCCGGGTGGACGCGCGGAGCCGAGCGGGGCACGGCGGCGGCGGCGGCGACAGCGGCCGGGATGAGTCAACTCCGCGTTTAATGGGGGCAGCGACGGCGGCCAGAGCGAGGAGCGAGGCGGCCCCGCGCGCCCGCCCTCCGGGACTCGCGCTCACACGCACGCACACACGAGCGCACACACACACACCTCTCCCTGTGCCACCCGGCAACGACCGGCCTCGTCACAACAACAACAGCAGCAACAGCCGCCCCCCGCCCGCCCGGGGCCGCGCGTGGGGCTGGGCCGCTCCAGAGGACGCTGTCCGCCTCCCCCTCTCCTCTCGGGAAACTCCTGAGCAGTTTGGTGGGGTTTCGGGGCTCCTTTCTGCCCCGGTCCTAGTGCCATTGTGGTGCTCGTTGTTTACCTCGGACTCGGGCTGAGGGGAAGCTGGGCGACTTTTGGGGGGAGGGGGCGGGGAGCGCGTCGCCGCCGGCCGCGGCGGGGGCTGGGTGCGCCCCATCTTCCTCACCCGCCCCAGCCCTCTGCTCCCCCTCCCCGGGCGCCCGAGACGCGCGCAGCCCCGCGTCCATGGGCAGGGACAGGGTCCTCCGGGCTGTTGTCAGCGAGGGCGGGATCAAAAGTGGCATTTTAGTGCCTTTCCGGGGCTTTTCCGGCCACCCCGTGTCCCTCACTTTCCAGTCCCCTGGTAGATGCCCTCGTTGGGGGTGCGGGGCTGTGGGAAAAGTTTAAGGTTTGTTAATCTTAGTCGCAGTTGTGGGGCGGGGTGGGGGCGCCTGGGAGGGAGGGAGGGTGGCGAGGTGGCCTGCCCTTCGCCGCGTTGGGTTCCCGGAGAATAATATCGCCAAGTGACAGCCAGAAGTAGACTTTCCGTGCTCGCTCCGAAGAACCCGAGCGAGCGGGAGGGAGAAAGAGAGAACCCCTTTTCTCTCGCGCTCTCTCGCTCTCTTTTTCTGGAGACCTTGTCCGTCGTGATTTATTTATTTATTTTTTCTTTTTAAGAGAACCTTCAGCCACCACCTCGCCTCCCCAGCACCACCACAGTGTACAGCTCCTAATGGGTTTTGCTTTGTTTTTGCGATCCCCCCCCCGACACGAATCACTTGTCAGATCAATTTTATCTTCTCCCTTCTCCCTACCTCCCACTCTCCCCTCCTGCCCATCGAAAACCCTGTTCTCTGAGGTTAGACATTTTACAAACCATATATATGTTGTTTTCTGAATTGTGATTTTTTTTAAACCCCTCTCCCATGGCTACTCCGGTAGACCTTTATTTCTGCCCTTCCCCTGCTTAGGGGAGCGGGAGTAGGGGAAGAGAAAATAATACAATTTCAGGGGAAGTCGCCTTCAGGTGTGCTGCTTGTTTTTTTTTTTTTTTTAATTAAAAAGAAGGGATATAGAAAACATCAGTCTTGAACTTCACTTCAAGAACCCCGGGCTGCAAAGGAAATCTCCTTTGTTTTTGTTATTTATATGCTGTCAAGTTTTGAAGTGGTGAGTTTCAGGTCGGTTTTGCTAATTTCACTCAGTAAAACTGCAGTGTTTCTGTTTCTAGATAGTACTTTGCTTCTTTGTCTCTTTAAAAGGTCACAGTGAAAGCTTGGCCTGGATCGTGCCGGCCATATGGAATGGATAAGGGCACAGTCTCTTAATTTGTGATTATGGGGTTCAGTGGGGAGGAGAGAAGCGATCCAGTAAGGAACTCATTGAAAAGGATCCCACAATGCAAAAACTAGGTTCTTGAAAGAGGAATTTCGTGTTTTTCTTTCTTTTAAGGAAATAATTGCTGAGGCTGAGTTCACTGTTTTATTCAGTAATTATCATATATGGTCTTAGTTTATGGACAGGGAAATGGGATTTTGACAAAATAGCCTACATTGTGTGTGCCAAACAGACGTTACACTAAAATGGGTTTTAAAATGTGTAACTCAAAAGAAACTCTTCAGCCTGGCATCTGTTGAGACCATAGTTAGTTCCCGCTGCTGTCAGACCGTGCCAGGCCTGTTGGAGGTTGCTCTTTTTCAATTCCAAACTGAGGTTTGGTGAACTTTAGCCTTGGGCATAGTTTAAAGGAGTAAATTGGGTGTTTTATGTGCATGTAATTTTGCTTTATAATGTAAAGCTTTTTATGGGATGACTTAGAGTTAATAGATGCTTCTAGGTGGGTATTCAGAGGACAGTTCTGCATGACCTATGTGATGTTTTGATTGTCAATACATTAACTAAATTATAATCTATCACTTTCATTGCTGTACAGTTTATAATGCTGTTAAGCCTCATGATTACTTAATATGTTTTGTGGTGTTAACTTTGATGCTGTTGTCTACTTTTTTCTTCTTTTTTTCTCTTGAGTTTCCTCAAGGGTTAAAGATTTCTCTTTTGAAATCATATGTTTTAAAATTCAGCTTCTCTCTGTTAAGGCAACCAATTTTAGAGAAAGCAGTTCTGCATTATAATCCACATGAAACATTATAAAGAGTGTTTTGAATAAGTTAGTAATCATCACTCTCTAATATTGGCTTTAGACTGCAGTTTAATATAATGGAAAAGAGTAATCTTGGTAAAAAGTGGTTTAAAAAGGCGCATTTATTGTTAATGAACCTCATAACCAAAAACAGATGGGACCCCGATCAATGGTAAACCTTTAGTTCTCAGTGTGCCACCCTGGAGTACAAAGATAAATAGCTATTATTATTTCTCAAACTTTATAGTTCTTCAGTTGGCATGCTTAAGGTTGCTTTTAAACCTCCAGATTAACATCGCTGTCTTCTTTCTTGATTATATAGGATGAAGTAGTCTGTACTTAAAACAAGAAAAAAATGTTTACAGAAAGCCATACTCATACAAACTGACTTAGGTATAATTTTTTAAAAATACAAGATATGTCAAATTAATACCTAGGAAAAATTGGTAATTATCATATTCTCCTTTTCCTAAATATGTTTTCCTTAGTGTTGATATGCCCAATACTTTATGGAAATAATGATGAAAGTTCAAAATTTACTCACCTGCTCTTACAAATTCTAGTTAAAACTGTATTTTAGAAGTGACTTTCATATTGAACTAATATTACCTTATTAGGAGTGTAAAATCTACAATAAAACAACATAATTATGAGGTTGCTTTTGAATACTGGAGATGACATTTTACCAATATCAAGGGTTTTTTTTGGTTATAGAGTGAAATTGGCACGTCCCCCTGTTGTGTATATAACTAAAGTCTTTTCAGGTTTTGCTATTTAAATGGATAACCACATTTTATTGCTAATACACACCTAAATGTTACTTGTAAAAGACAAGTTGAAGTTGTAATTCTTCAGTACCTAGGATATTTGAAGCAACCCTCCACTTCTTGCTGTTTGTTCAGGGATGAAATGACTCAGTCACATGTTTGACCCAAGGCTTGACTAGATCTTTAACAGGGCACCCTGTCTCTTCAAGCTTTGATAGTAGAAAACTTGTCTGCATTAGCGTGGAAAGCCAGTAGGGAGTCTAAATAGCACTTAGATCTTTGTACCTTCTTCTGAGATGCTATATGTGTTTTTCTCAAAACACATGTGAAATAGAATTAAAACAATTAAATTTAATATTTTAGGCTGTGATAATTCTTCCATCCTTTATTAAAATGTTGCTGTTGTAGTCTGTAATGAGTTTGTAGTTTTTAAAAATTATTACTACGTAAATACAATTTGTTATTTTTCTTTTTAGCTTGTGGTAATTCTTGTTCTAAAAGTAAGCCCACTTTTGTTAGTTTTGTTTGTAAGTGACAAATTAACCTTTTCACTGACATTTGGTACAGTTGCCACAAATTCTTAATTTGAATAGAAATGTGGTGCTGTTGTCTAGAAATATAATGTCTATATTATAGATATGTAGCTTCAGAAGTATATTGGTGGAGAGAAAAGTCTAGTAAATGTTTATGTGGGACACGTAGAGCTATAGACCCTCACCCAATTATAACATGTTTTCTCTTTAAATCCTGGCAGGTGATCTTTAGAGAGTGACTGAGTATGGATCATCTGAACGAGACAACTCAGGGGAAAGAACATTCAGAAATGTCTAACAATGTGAGTGATCCGAAGGGTCCACCAGCCAAGATTGCCCGCCTGGAGCAGAATGGGAGCCCGCTAGGAAGAGGAAGGCTTGGGAGTACAGGTGCAAAAATGCAGGGAGTGCCTTTAAAACACTCGGGCCATCTGATGAAAACCAACCTTAGGAAAGGTAAATACTTTTGAGCCACATCCTGCAGAGCTGCAAGTGCATGTGTACCCAACCGCCCCGTGTGTGGGGGTGGAGGGGCAGGACATGCTTTGTATATGCTTTTCCTGGATTCTCCTTCTGCTGTGAAATTAGTTACGTTCTGGGTTGTAGTATCATGGCTTCAAAGTGTAGGCTGTGTTCTTGAGCGGAACATCTATTCTAATGCAGAGTGGAATCATTGGGCTTTCTGGATGAAAAAGATGAAGTAGAATGGTCTTAGTTTATGCCAGGGTCAATTCAGAAGGTGGTGTTGTAGTAAAGAATAGAAGCTGACTGGTTAAACTAATCCTTATTAAGAATAAGACATTTAGGTTGTTTGGAAATCACCGTAGCTTTTTTTTTTTTTTTAATGAGTATTAGTTGTAAGGCAGATTCAGAGATCATGAAAATCTTTCATAAGATGATACAAAAAAAGTTTGGTAGTACCCTTTTTGTGCGTTTTTTTTTTTTTTTCCTGAAGAGCATACTCATTATTTAGCAGTGAAAAACCAGATGATTCCAGTGTTTTAAGTTTTGCTATATTTGGGTAAAGGAAAGGTAGATGTAGGTGACTTTATGAAGAAAAAATATACATAACTGCTCTTTAGCAATATGAAACTTGATGAAGTTTAACAACTTTGAGTGTGTTTGACATAAAATAGTGCCTACCCTGGATATAATATGTGTGCCTCATAAGAGTCTTTATTTTGTTTCTGAATAACATGTATAGAAATCAGATTTTCCTTGCATTTGCTAAGCAGAGGATAAAAATGCTATCTTTTAGCAACCAAGAATATTAAGTAGATAAAGTTAGAAGGCAGAGGAATTTCGTTGTGTTTGATGCATAACATTTATCATACAATCATTTATTTTTTCCTTGGTTTGGCGAAAACAAAGAATATATTGATCCTGAAATGAACAGACACAGCAGTCCGTATTGTTAGATCTTTATCTATTAAAAATGGAAAAACAGCACTTCAGCAAATTCTTTGGCCTCTACTCATGATTACCCTATTTATTGATTGTTTGCCAAGAATGTATGCATCTTAAGAAAGCCAGGGTAAGAGCATTAAAAATATAATTTATTATGGCTTTTCAAACAGAGTGCATTAATATTGTACTGTGAAGCACTGGGGCTCTATAAAAAAGACTTTCTGACGCCTGCAAACATATAAGTTCCATAAATTCCTAAATAGGAGATTTCAGCTGTCTCTGGTATTATGTGATATTTGCACAGCAAACTTTAATGCCAGGACAGTTTTAGACAAGGATTCTACAGACTTCACTGCTCCTTATGGCAGGCGTGCTGTTTACACAGGCTCATAAACCTTCAGCAAAAGCTTCTAAGACTGCCTTCAGGTTTAAATCATGTGGTATTTTTAGCATTCAGCAGTGACCAGTGCTCTCCCCGTTTAATGCTGGAAGGTTGTGAAGTTGCTGTAGTTGAAAGTCTTGCCAAACACTAGGACGAATAATCAGAGGTTCAGAGAAGGCTCCTGCTTAGCATTATTCCCAGTAACAGCAGGGCAACCCTGACAGTTTTCTAGAAGATTTAGCAGCTGGATTTACAATTAGATGATACTATTGTTATTTTATCTATAGCTACCTCTTTTAGCTATAAGGCATCTCTAAATTTGATCAGTAAAATGCAAAGTAAATTCAGTATATTTCAGTAGTTTAAAAAGCAACATTGTTTCATAGATCTGAGAACTTATTTCCTAGGCCTGAGAAGCAGCATATAATAGAACACATCTGTTTCATCCCATAAGAGGAAAAATCAGTGTATATGTATTTGTTGTAATAACCCAATTCTTTGAAGACATCAGTGCAAGGGGAGGAAGAACCAAAGTACAGTAATTTCACTTCTTGCTCAAATCCTTTTTTTTTTTTATTTTGAAGTATTTTATTTATGATGGCTTATTTTAAAATGTTTATGTAGAAAGGTCTCTGTTTAATCAAATTACATACTCACTAAAGCCTTTCAGTGTTTTGTCCCCCTCATCTTATTTTTTATCAGTATGTTTTTTGTTTGACAGGTGCTAGATTAAAATTGTGGCTGAGCTAAGAAAGCCCTAGTAAAAAAAGGGAGTTGAATGTTTTTATTTGTTTAGGAGATTTTGCCAAAATACCTTCAAGCCAAGGAAGAAATCACCAGTTTGCATATTGCTGTTTTTGCTGTGGTCTCCCCAAGTCGTCTTCTAATCCCTAATGGGTTCTCTCTCTGGTATATAACAGCTGAATGAATGACAAGAATATTGGCAAGCTGTGCTGCTTGTTTTTCATGCCTAGCCTGTTGGTACTTCCGAATGAGTTTGTGGGCTTCTCTGAACCTAAAGGGGTTTATTTGTGAATTAGAATCTCTTGTGAACAGTTCACTAAAGCTTCGGTGAAGACACACATGTGGAAAAATGTGCTGTTTTATTGTGGCTTTTGTTCAGCAGAAACAGGGAAATAGAGAATTTATAAAGGGGCTCTTTGATACGCACTAGACATCTTTAGAAGTTGGTAGGATTCTTGAGTCCGAAGGACAGCTTACACAGGCATGAACGTTGTAGGGCTAATTGGGGTCCTGGGTGCCCTGTTAAAGTAACCCTTGTCATCATTTATGCTAAAGATGATACCCTCTTGGCAGTTTGCCATGGTACAGTTCAGTTACATCTGTTTTTAACCCTTTTCCGTTATTACTGCAAGTGTGGCAGTATACTGCGTAAACACCTTGAGTGCAGTAGCAGTCTGTGATTTTAGTTTCTAGACCAAGGCTCTTTTTCTAACAGTGGTGTGACCTGTGCTTATTAATCATCTGGCTACTGAGTTATTACCTTGGATTACAGTAAACCAAGAGAGAGCACATCAAATCCATGTAAATTCCTTGATTCTAATATATCCTGAAGAGGCCACTTCCCTTTTCTCTCTCATTTTTATCATGTGATAAAATGGAATTTGTTCATTTTAAAGACTGTGGCCATTGTGATATCTTTTTTAGTTAGGTAGATTAAATGAGTAGTCATAAAAATAAATGTTACTTATTTCTACATTATGTACATTGAAATTGTGTGTTATGAACATCAGTGTGGTTTTGTGTTTCTTGAATGGAACTAGAGTAAATATCTCAAAGAGAAAGAAAATGATAAGTTTTTTGACCAAGGATAATTGTTTAGACACAAACGAGAAGTTTGTTATTAACAGAAGCGTAAAGGCAGTGGGAAGGTGGGTTCTGAAGACCACTGCAGTGCATTCTGTGTGTATACTGTATAGTACTCACAGCAAATCAAATAAGACACACTTCTCTCTTGTCAGCATTATTATTTGATCAAAAAGTAATTCTACATTTATTGCTTTTGGAAAATGCACCATTAAAATTAGAGCAGAGCTCAAGTTATCTTAAGACCAACTTCATATTCTGTTTAAATATTTCTCTTACAACTTTAAAAATTAAAAGGTTGCATATATTCATCTATTTGTGTGTGAATGTTTGCATCCCTGTACCCAGTCTGCCTTGGAAACAGTCTCTCTTTCACTGTTGTAAAGATTTATTTTTATAGCTTAGTTTTTCCTACCCCTCCAACTGTATTTCTGAGGATTGTTGTTTTCCTGTCTTTTTTCTCTGTCTGTTTGATAGGAACCATGTTACCAGTTTTCTGCGTGGTGGAACATTATGAAAACGCCATTGAATATGATTGCAAGGAGGAGCATGCGGAATTTGTGTTGGTGAGAAAGGATATGCTTTTCAACCAGCTGATAGAAATGGCATTGCTGTCTCTAGGTTATTCACATAGCTCTGCTGCCCAGGCCAAAGGTAAATAATGCATATGTTGGGTGGGAAAAATTGCTTGGAATCTTTTGTTTACCTCGTAGAGAAAGCAGTGAATATTTTTATTTAAAGAGCTGTAGCCAGTGTTTTATATTGGTTCCTTATAGACTGTGGCTTTAAAAAATTGGCTTAATTCAGTTTGGTTTAGTTAACACACATTTTGCTCATGTGGAATGTTGAGGTAGATTTTTTTTTTTAAATTACTTCAGCTGAATCATTAGTATGCTTATTGACCTTAATAATCTGCTCCACTGAGGACCCACAAGGAAGTGAGGAGCGTATTTGAGCAGATGGACTGTTGAGAGTCAATTTGCATTTATGACTGAATATCTAGTTCTGTTTCTTTTATTCTGTTTCTGATGGTTTTATGGGCTGTAAAGTATTTTTCAATGCTGATTCCCACTGCAATAGAGAATCTTATCTAAATCGTAAAGCCATTTAGAACTGGTTCTGCTATGTCTTATTAGAACTTTCTGTAAGTTAGGAAAATGTGGCCTTATGCATAGGTTTTATTGATGAGGTGTTATTTCCAAAATAATAAACAACCCTATAGTCATTTACATAATTTCACAATTTAGAAAGCTAAGCTGTGAATATTTTCATTGACCTGCCTTTTAGAGGGAAGGGAATCATTCAAACAGAAATAATAATATTGCTTGTGGTGGGGGCAACAGGAAAAAAAAAGCTTTCTCCTAGATATATCATCTGAGAGTAAAATAATCAGTGACATACTCTCTTTCTCTGGAATAGGGCTAATCCAGGTTGGAAAGTGGAATCCAGTTCCGCTGTCTTACGTGACAGATGCCCCTGATGCTACGGTAGCAGATATGCTTCAAGATGTGTATCATGTGGTCACGTTGAAAATTCAGTTACACAGGTGAGTCAGGGCAGCAGTTCTAGGATGAAACATTCTCCTTGCCTAGTACTCTGAAATAATACATCTCACCTCAACATTCAATTCCTGTTTTCCAGGCCTGTGTTTCAGAAAGGTTAATCCAAATTTATTTTGTTACCTAACCCCTTCTGCTCTATTCCCCTAACTTCAGTGTATAATTTAAAAGGACTCCCCCCAAATTTGTAGATTTTTATAGGTTATCAAAAGACAAGACTTTTTATATTTAGTCAAATGATGCATTACAAGAAGGCATATTACATAAAGTTTACTTAAGAAAAAAATATTTTTGCATATCATGAACAGTGCCATCTGTGTACATTTTGTGAAAGAATGCCTTATCCGCTATTGCCATGATCTTATTTTTTTTTTTACCATTTTATTTCATATGAACAGAGTAATGAAAGGAAATCAGTTAATACGTTAATGCTTTTCACGATGGCTCCTGAGAAAGCAGTACACCTTAAATTGTCTTCCCAAGCGCATCAGAGCAGGAAGGTAGAAGTAACATGAAAAAATAGCCACCACAGGCAGCTGATGTATAATTCATGCATCGATACAGCAGATGTGTTGTATAAAGTAATTAACTAATCGGAACAATCAGGAGACCGAGAGCAATCTCCAGATGCATCTGTTTGATGCGCAAAATGAAATCTGTCTGTCTTAAAGGAATGTTCTGCAGCGGGATGCAATCTTGTAATAATCCCCTTTCTAATCTATGTCTCAAATAGTTGCCCCAAACTAGAAGACTTGCCTCCTGAACAATGGTCGCACACCACAGTAAGGAATGCTCTGAAGGACTTACTCAAAGATATGAATCAGAGTTCGTTGGCCAAGGAGTGCCCCCTTTCACAGGTACTAAGCATAGCATGTAATAAATAAGATATCATGGGCAACTTGGGCTTGAGGTCTGAGGGGGCTCCGGAGTTTAAAGCAACTGGTATCTGAAGCAAGCATTTGCCAAAACTGCAAAATGACTTGGCCACTGCTGACCTTTTAAAATATGCCTGGTTCACTCTGAACAGAGCCTTTGCACTTTTCTCCAGTGGGGCAAAGTGTTAAGGACTGTTTACAGGAAAAAAACGGTTAAGTGGATGACTACACTGGCGAGTCTTTAGATTGTTCTTGGTGCTCTCTGAGCATGGTAGCTACAGTCTCCTTAGTGACTTCTTGAAGGAAGAGTCAGGGTAGTATGACTCGCTCAGAGGTTTGGCACATGGGAATAGCAGTGTTAGCATTAATGTGGGAAGCTGTCTGAATAAAATAAGAATACAGTTACTGACTACTTTGTTCATTACTGGGTGTGTGTGTTTGGTAAAAATAAAAATAAGAACAGAAATCACTTGTCCAGATCAAAGGTTGAATAGTTGTTCTTCGTTAGGATTCTGTAACCTGTTTTGTGACATTCGTTTTTGGGGGGTTGGTTTGTTTTTAAGTGGAATCTTCTTTTTCCCTCTGAGATGCCTGTAGTATTATTAGGGGTTTTTGAAGTGAGATTTATTATTGTACTTCATTCTTTGGGAGGAATTTTGATGGAGAACAACTAAAGCTTTAGGTTTCCAGATTTAAAAACCGCACATCATTTTTTAAAATACTCAGCTAATTTCAAAAAAAGAAAAAGGATGCTGTGAACCCACTGTTAGTTGTCTGCTTGTGTGGTCACCATGTAATGCATTGTAATGCTGGCCCTTATTACTCAAACCTGGGATGTACTATAATTGAGGTGCAGGTCTAATTAGATGTTTGTTAAATTTTTAAAGTTTTCTTTTCAGGTTTAGAACAGTAATTCAAATAGTAATGTCACCCATCTAAATTTCAATCATATGACTCTTCTGTAAGCATTTCTGTAATTGAGAGATTCTCATAGTGTATTTCTATTATATTCTGAGTGAGAGATATTCTCAAGGTGTGTATTTACTGTTAGGCTCATGAAGATTATGGGTACCTTTGGAAGGAAGCTTGTGGGCTTTCATTCTACTTTTCATGAAGAACTTTTTGCATGCCAGGTTGCTACATTACAGTCCTATAGCTTTGCTTTTATATTAGCAATTTTAGGAATAGAGCAAATTCTAAATTAAGCTGTAGCCTCAAATTTAGTATTTTCTGTATTGTTAAGTACCCATTCTTACAATATAGGGCAAACTTTTTTCTCATTTCACTTATCTGTGCAGCTGATCTCTATCCTGCTTCTCGCACTCTTAGAATAAAGAAGATGTAAAATTATAACTATCAAAAATAATTTAAATTAATTAAACACAGGTACAGCAATAGGATCACATAATGGAAAAGATGATTTTTACTTGTGAGACTTTGTGTTTTGCAAACAACTCCAGGTAACAGGTTGCATGATTTTTAGCATTTGGAAATTTGGAATGACCTAGAATTGAATGTTTTTAAAATTTAGAGTTAAAACCATATAAACACCCAGTATAGGAATCTTATGTATCTTCATGTTACTGAATGTGTCCCTTTGATTTTTGGAAGTACGTTTAAAGACATAAGGCATTTTACTATGATCTGGAAAAATATATGCTACTACAAATATTCTTTGATAACAGTCAGTGAGAACTATTATTAAATGGTATCAACATTCAGCTAATAAACTCTACCACATTGTAGCTTATAAATATAATTGTGAATTTACTTAATGTTATTAAAATAAATGCTGAAAATTACAACATTAAAATGATAAAGTGAAATTTGGAACTGGGTGGAGTCATCGGTAGGTGAATTTCTGGCATGGAGGGCTTTAGAAGAACGCATTACCTTGTGTTGCTGGAGACCCCGCCATAATAATTCAGTGATGGAACTAGGCTGGGATTTTAGCGTGTGTTATAGTGATAATCTTCCTCTCTCCAAAAAATACCTTTTTGAAAATAATATGCATATCTTAGCAGAGACAACAAATATTTTAAATTTAATTAGTATTTTGAAAAAATAACCTCTAAGCGAGGGAGCAACTTTATATTTTGCTCTATCATTTTCTGTTTCTTTCTCTAGAGTGAATCTATAAATCAGAATGATTTTATTAAGAAGTTTTCCACTTATTTTCCTGTCATTTTTTCTCTCTAAAGATGGAGAGGGCTTTCTAAGGCCTAAGCCCACATTATATGTTTGTCTTTCTTCTGTGTTTGAGATTTGGTGATGTAGACATTGTTGTGAAAAATGCGTAGCGAATAAATACTGCCTTATTCTTACCCAGAATGGAAATTTAATTCCAAGAAATTCTTTATTGAGGCTGTACTTCTCTCATGAAATTTTTGTTTCGTTTGTGTGAGAACTTTTGACATATTTTTCAATATATGCATTTTACTGTATATTAAGGGTTTCCTTTTGTTTAGTGTGATACAGTACTCCAGTAGCAAGAATGATTACAGGCTCCCTAAATAGTGTGTTTAGCAGAAAATCTACCCTGTGGGCAAATAGAGTCCCTCTGTAGAGGGTAAGAGGGAGTAGGAATGGCAAACCATTAGGAATTCGCCTGGAGCTTTTGACAAGCCCTGCATCCATAACTCTTAGCAGGGTTGTCTAATGTGTGCTAAGCAAATATCTAATTGTACTTAGATTCTTAGAATTAGAAGGGATCATCCTTCCCTGGCTCCTCTTTTGACAAATGAAGGAGCTAGTGTCCCTACAGATTAAAGTCAAGGTGCCAAGCTGGGGATTTAGCTCAGTGGTTCTGCAGCCTGACTAGCAAGAGCAAGGTCCCGAGTTAGATCCCCGGTACCAAAAAAAAAAAAAAGTCAAGGTGCCAGGTAACCACTAACCCAAAAGTCCTGATTTTCCTGTGTCCTTGCCCATTGGTAAATCTTAAAAGTGTTGATATTAGAATGGATACTTAGGTTTTTGTGCAATAATGTTTTCTTTGATAATATTTGCAAGGTTTTCTCCAGCTGCAAAAATTCCATAAGTGGGTATGTGGTTTGATTTACAACTCATACTTTTATTTGTTATTACTTTCCTATCATAAATCTGCCCAAGTAGATTGATGTGTGTTTATTAAGTTCTGTGTATCACGTGTTTATTTTTGTAAAATGTTCTAAGACATAAAAAATGCTTAGCTCATTATAGATCTGAGGTTGGATGTTTCGTTGCTTTTGTTTTTTTTAGTGGATGTGGTTAGATAAGTTGGATGTTGCATTCTGAGCTGCAGCTAAGTAGGAGAAAATAAAGTCTGATTCAGGGATAGGAAAGCTTGTAGTCTTGAAACTTCTGAAGGTATGAATTTAAGAAGTAAATTGGGAATTAAAACTCAACATTTGATTTAGAATGAAACATTAAATCTTGATTCTATTTTCCCCTGGAGTTTTAGAAATTGAATTTAAACATTGGATAAATACATACATTCTGATACAGGGACAGATGATTTTGTTAAAGGTACCTTAAGTAAAAGGTCAGTTATTTCCACCAGCCTAATGCTTTCTTTGTAAAAGTGTTAGGGTCAAATATTTCTGAAAGATTTTAATTTGCTGTTTGCGTTTTTGCCCCTCTGCCTTCACTGTACATGTGTGCTTATGTGAATACGCAAACACACACATACACCAAGAACTTTCACATTTTTAAGGCATTGAATCATTTTCCATTTCATTTCTCAGCTGGGGAAAAGATATCTCCAAGTCAAGTCCAATATAAAGTGAGTGAGAATTGCCATTTTTATTTTCAGCTAGTAAAATATATTAAGATAAATAGATTTAAACATCTTATTTAGAAATAATGTGAAGACAGGTGACTGTTAAATTTTCCTTTTTCTGATGCCATCTGAAGATCTAATGTATGCTACAGTTTTTATTAGTTACTAACAAAACAGATAATCAGAGAAACTTCACTGCCTTTCTGAGGCTTAGCATTTAAGGAGATTGATGCTCTGAAATTTGACAGTCATTTCAATGGGCATTTTAATAAACTTAAGTTCAGCTAATTTTCAGTATGTATTACATGTAACACTAGAATAAAAATTTAAAAATCTATTGTATAGTAGTGATTTTCTACAAAAGAAAAAAAGCTGCATTGTGGGTTTTTCCCCCCTTAATTTTTTGACTGAAATGACACGTTTCTTAAATTTTTAAATAAACATTAATAATCACTTTCTTTCAAGAGAATATCTAGCATCAGTATTTATATGTTGCATTTCACATGAGACACTAATCACTAATCTGTGAAATGTATTCAAATATTCATATATTTATTCACTCAAAAATATATATTGAAACAATAATTTAAAAAAATGTATTGATGGTCTGCTTTGTCCCAGGCATCCTGTTTCCTGGGTCATAATAAAGATAACACATCTTTTTTTTTTTTTGGTAGCGGGGATCAAACTCAGGTCCTTGCACTTGCGAGGCAGGCAGTGGAAGCACTGAGCTAAATCCCCGGCCCAAGATAACACATCTTAATAGCTGAAATAATACATGATTAACTTCATTTAGTGCTTTTGATGTGTCTTATGCTTCTGTCTCCTTAAGTAGTAGTAGACAGTTTTATATTCCATGTTCAAATGAGAAACCTGCGGAGTATGTCAGTGTCCCTGGCTATGTGGCTGGTGAAATAGAGGGCAAACTTCGAGCTACAGCCAGGGAGCCTAACCTAGTGTCCTTCTTGGTCACATATACAGATAAAGGAAGTTTAAAAAAGAAAGAAATCTTATATTAACCTGATGTGTTTCATAATAAGTGCACTTCGATTTCCAGTTGTATTTATTTTTACTGTGGATGATTTTCTTTCACATACGTGTTTTGCTTTTCTTTCTGGTTTTCCTGTTCATATATTGACTTGTTTTAAAAGTGCCATCATTTCATTCCCTCTTTTTAAGACATGTTGGGTGTTTTAGACCCTATCTGCTGGATAATCTGCCATTT